GATCTAAAGTCCCCAGCTGCTCCATCTCTCCACGTCATCATCTCTGCCTCCATCTCTGGCATCACTGCTTCTCTGGGTAGGGTCCCACTCTCCGCTCTTCTCATTTGATGGTCCCAGGGACCGCTGCTCCTAGACTGCAAAGTCAATCACTCCCCTCCTTGCTACAAAATGTCTACCTTTACATTTCCAACCCTCACAGTCAGTCCTGATAACCCAGTCCTTTAATAAGGATTAATGCTAAGTGAGCAATTACTATGTGCCAAGCATCTTATGCATATTGTCTCATACAATTCTCTTAAAACCTCTACAAGGCAAGTATCTACTTAAAGATAAGGAAACTGAGATATAGGAGATTAATCTGTCTGGTCACACTAGTGGTTAGTGGAGCTGGATTAGAACAGAAAGCCTTTCTCTCTTATGGCTTTTCCTTGTAATTGTCTATTTCCCTGTCCATCTGTCCATTTCCCCCACTGGACTATGAGTTCTTTAAGGCCTACCCTATGCCTAGGTTCACAGCTTGCATGTGTTGAAAGAACAAGTGAATGAACATTTCTAGTTCTTAACATTCCCTTAGTGGTGTTGTTGAGGTACAACAGTGCAGTTTGCCTTCCTCTGTCTTGTCAAGGTTGCAACCCAGATGACCTATTCTCCAATCCTTAAGAGCTTTCAGGGTACTGAGGTGAAGTGTAGGTGTAGGTGTTGGCAAAATTGGAAAAACAAAGGAGCAAGGTCTCTGTCATCAGTTCTCTGGCCCAAGAAAGCCACTTGTTTCATCAGGACACTCTTGAATGCCCCCTCACCCAATAAACTACCCAGAGAGCTATGCTTAGGCTGTGGACTCCCATCAGTAATCATATTGCTCCTTCCCCATTCTGCCCTGAGCTCTTTCCCAAAGACTTCCTGGCATTAAAGAGGAGCGGAGGGGACAGGGTTCAGTCCCACTATGAGCCCCAAGGAATGGGCCCAGAGGTGGTTGCCCATCCCAGACCACATCCTGGCCTACTGCTGCAGTCTTGGGATACTTCTGTCTCTTATCCTGCCATGAGATCCCACCCTGGCCTCCCTACTCCTCCCCCTCAGGCAGCCTGGCAGCATGGCCTGAGTCACTTCCAGCTCACATTCTCCTTCTGGTCAGGCCAGTTTGGCAAATCTCTCTGGCTCCTCCACCCCATAGCCCTGGGACCTGTGGGGCCCCCTTCCCAAGGCTCCTAGGTACCCCCATATGTGTCAGGGGACACACCTGGAAGAATGTATTGAAAGAACATTAAAAACCACATGGAAGACTTCTGTCCTCTTAGAATCTGGGGGTAGGTGTCTCTGCTTGGGACTTGGAGCTCTTTTCTTTCCAGAAACCACCCCAGACTGGTCATATCTCTCAGAATTGCCTAAGCACAGGAGTTGCTATTCGGTACTCTCTGGGACAAGAACTTCACCCTGACCCCGGATCCCTGAATCAGATGAGAATGAGATAAGCACCCCCAGCCCTAGTCTTTGGGGAAAAAGAGAAGGGGTGAAGTCTGAGTTATCTTGGGGTCATCAGCCTAGACCCAGAAACTCCACACTCCCCTGCTTTGACTGCCAAAGGGACTAAGGGTCCCAGACAGACCTATCCACTGCTCCAGGAGCTAGCAAATTGCTGGTAAGAGTGCAGTAGGTCACAGCGGAAAGAGTGATGAAGCCTCCCCATCCCACCCCCAATATAACTAAGTCTCAAAGAGGACAGAAGAGGGGAGCTAAGAGTCCCTTGGCAGGAGTTGACACCCCATCTCCCCTAAGATGTCCCTGAACTCTGCTACCAGCCCTAGCAGAAACCTCTGCCCCACAGGATGTTGCCACCAGGTCTAGCAGGAAGCGGGGGAAATATGTAAGGGTCAAGGGAAGTCCCCAAGTTCTGAAACCCTGGCAGGGTACAGACCCTATCCTGCCTACCAGGTTGGTAGCTTCTCTAGAAATTGGAGAGGTGAAAAGGGCTTCTGGTGAAAGAAGATGAAGCTGCAGAGAGAGGTTCTGTATCCCCCCAGTTACTCCCACAGTTTTTTTCCTGCTTCCCCCTTAACCTTAGTGGAGGGAGAGTTTATCCCTGAAAAGTCATTTCTACATGACCCAAGAGTCACCGGGTGCATGACCCTGCTCCTGGGCATTGCTGTCACTTCCCAGAGCTCAGGCCTTCCCCATTCCTTGCTTCTTCTAAGCTGATGAGTTCACCCCCTGCCCCGGCACCAGCTTCTCACTCCCCTACTCCAGGCAGCCAGAAAAGAGCATACAACACAGGCACGTCTGCAAATATGTTTAATGCACTTAGATTACATGGAAGAAGAGCGGGGCAAGAAGAAAACAACATCTTAAGTGAGTCATCCCAAAATCCTTACAAAAGTCCCAGGCTGACTGCAGTCCCCAGAAACAGTGTTGCCACTGACATTAGAAACAAATAGAAAATTTTATAAAAGTCTGCTGGATGCAGCATTCAGGTACTTGTACAAAAGAAGGGATCTTTCTACAGGGCTCCTGACGTGTCCCAGGACCAAGTGACTCACCTGGCATGAAGGACCTGGCACAAAGACAGGGAAGACAACCAGATAAAAAAATACAGTCCAGACAATTCTCTACCAATCCACCCCACAGGGGTAGTGACTTGCTTAGATCAATCTTGAAACAGTCCAAGACCCTGTGTCTATTTTTTAAAATGCTGTAGTTCTTGTAAACGCTTTTCAAGGCTTCCCCAGTCCCTGCCCTGAAGCCATTCTTTTGGAAGGAGAAGAGGAGGGCAGGAAGAGACACTTGCTCTCTAGCCAGACGTGAGACCTTGCATGGGGCCTTCCCAACTCTCAAGATGGCAGCTGGTTCTGTGGGCTTCTTGCCCCAAAGGATATAAGAATTCCCCTTACATAGCAGGTGAACAGGAAGGGAGAGCCCCTTCCTCTCAGAGGCTCCAACACCAGGGTGGGGTAGGACTGGGCAAGCTTTAAGGAGGCCCAGGGGGAAGAGACAGAAGGTGGGAGCCACCTCACCTGTCTGACCCACAATGAGCTCAGGAGATGTGCTGGGTGGGGGATGGTCTCTTCCACCAGCTAGAAGCTTGGAGAGCCTAGTCCCCCAGAGACCTTTGGGAAGGCACCATGGTCCAAAGGAAAGGAGACCTGGTCAGAGATGGTGGATGGCCTGCCACTCCCTCAGAGTCAGTGCACTGCAGGGAAGGAAAGTGGCAGTTTGGATGTTTCTGAGGAGGCTCCGGACATAGGCTTCAAGGGCAGGCTGTACTATATCTTAAGCCTCCAAGTTCACCTGCTGCCCTTTGCCCTCCCTCCACTTCTGGGAACTCTGCTGCCATGCTGGTGGTACCAGGGGTGAACTGTTGATCAAACACCTCACATACATGAGACAGCCAGGCTCAGAAAGTGCCACCCCCCACTCCCCCCCCAAAATTCCAGGCAGATGGATGGCAGGATGAAACAAAGCAAGAAGTCCTCAGGCAGGTCTCCAGAAGAAAATTCAGGGAGAGGCTGGTTGGGGTGGGAAGGAAAGGAAGAAAACAGATGGTACCTCTCTGCCCATGAAACTCACAAGGGCTTCAAAGGCAGAACTGCAATGGTAGGAGGGTTAAAGCCAGGAAATATCCTTTTGGAAAAGTCTTCAGGGCAGTAGAAGGCACAGCTGCTGCCAACATCAGGTTCAGAGAAGCTCCTACTTTGACTAGTCAAAGCCTGATGCCAGTCTCTCCCAATTCTCCAGGGTGATCTGCCTTGAAGCTTGGAGCATGGGATGGAACTCACCGAATACTCTATGGGTGTACAATGGAAGGGGCCAGGCCCCATCCCAGAAAAACCTCAAAATCAAAAGCCAAAGATAAGTTGGCTTTCAGGAAGAAGACGGTAAAATCTGCACTATTTAGGGTGAGGGGTCAAGGACCTCCTGAGGCAGGGATTTGGGAAGGAGTCAAAACATGGTAGAGAAGGAATGATGAGAAATGAAAGGATACAGCGAGGGTTAGAGGCAGGCAGAGGGCTGTGTTTGCAAAATCAAAGTGAAAGATGGTGAGCTGCTGCCTTCTGGCTGTGGAATAAGCCAGAGTTCTTCAGCCTGGAGGCTGGGAGGCCCAGGGAACCACAGGTGGGGACAGTCTGTGAGGTGCTGGCTTTCATTCTCTCCCAGGTAGGCCTGGATGGGTGAAAAGACCTGGAAGATGAGGGTGGGGCCACCTTGAACCTTGCAGGGGCCCAGTCCACTTGGGAAGCAGCTGACCCCCTTCCTGTCCCTGGCTCAGTTGAGCTCAGCTCTCCCCCTGCCCCAGCTCTGCCAGGCCCAGCTGGGAAGAAAAGCCTCTCTGTGAAGCTGGCTCCTCCAGGGCCTGGGCTGGCAGGCAAACACCCGCCACCTTCTCCTGTGGCTGTGTGGCAGTCCTAGGCCTCTGTCTGAGAGAAGGAGAAAGTTCATCTAGAAATAAAGTTCTGTTTCAAAAACATCATATACATGACTGCCGGACATCTTTGCAGAGCAATAAAATACCATTCGGTTTCTACAAAATAAAATACGGAGGAAGAAAACCAAACACGCTGAAAGAAATTGTTCTGTGGCCAGAGGCGCCTGGTTACCAAGGTTTTCCAGAGCTGGGCCAGGCAGTACACCACATCCGCGCTTGGCACTGGTGGGTCCTTACCTCCCTGCAGGTGAGAGTGAGGCTTGTCTCAACCTAGGGGCACTTCAAGGGTGCAGAATCAAATCTCAAACCTGCACCTCAGGTGTCAGCAGGAGGGATTTGCATTTACCCTCTCACTGGCCAGTGGGGGGCCCTGACCCACTCACACAGGCTTGGCCAGCTGTAGGTCAGCGGGGGGCCTGTGGCCTAGGCACAGTATCCCACCAGGCTGAGGAGTAATCTTCACACGTCTCCTTTTATTTGTGGGACTCTCTTTTCTGCAGTTGTTATACTGGAAGTCACTGGGGAGTAGCTGGCTTCCCCTGAGGCCCCTGCAGGGCCCAGCCCAGGCTAGTGCAGAGGACTGTCGAACACCATGTCAGGCAGGATGGAGACTTTCAGCTTCTTCTCAGGCCAGCTGTACTCTTTGGGAAGTTTGAACTGTGGAGGGAGAAAGCACAGACCCAGAACACATGGTGAGCAGATTCCAAGGCCTAGAGTAATGTCCCTCACCCAGGCCCTGTTCCAGGGTTCTGGGGACAAGACAGGCTATTGGTGCTTGGCTTTGATCGCAAATGCTAGACCCAGGTGTGCAGCTGGGGTTAAGCTGCTGGAGTTTAGTGGCCGGCCGTTTTCCCCTCACCCTGACAATAATTAACTTAGGTTGGAGGAGGCTTGTTTTCTCTTTCTTGACTGTGCTGACCTCCCTCCTGCTCACTTCCTTGGTTCTGCCTCCAGCCACAAGCATGAAAGGAATCTGCTCCCTGAGGCCCTGGGGCTGGAGAATGGAAGGGAGGGGAGGGCGCTGATGCTATAGGGAAGTGGCTTGAGGCCTGGGTATCTGTGGTCCTGCCCCTGCCATGGCCTGTCTTTCTGAGGCTGGTGTGGAAGCACCCTGGAACCTGTCCTCTGTAGCTCCCCTCCATGGGAACAGGAGGAAGGTGGCTTGAAATGATTTCTTGGGCCTGGAGCATCTTCAGGAAGGGCAGATCCCCACCTTAGTCCCTTGTGTTAATTCTCAACTGCTTCTGAGGGCTACAGGCCCAAGCTTGGTCCCAGTAGTGGCCAAGGAGAGCCCAAGGTCTTCCTGCCCCACTCCAGGAATCAATGATTTGCTTACAGTGATGTTTCTCCCATTGGCTTGGGAGCTGCTGGTGGGACTAGTAGAGGCGGGCTGACTATTGTGTTCCCTCTATATTTCAGAACCTTGCATGTGGTCTTGCACTTAGCTGGTGCTCAAAAGATGCTCACGGAGTTGGACTGATGCTGGAGTTTGGAGACAGGGTTTGTCTATTATAGTTTCCCACTGTCCCAGGACTAAGCAAGGAGTCAAGGCCAGGCTGGAAGGGACAGAAGACAAAGACTGTCATCTCAGGCAGCTGGGTTAAGGCTGGAAGTAGGCAGGCCTGGCATATTCAGGCTTGCTCCCTCTTTCTCTCCCTCTGATGGGGAAATGGCCATGGTAGAATGAGAATGGAGAGTGGGGTAGGGTGTGGGGACAGCTTCTAGACACGGGGCAAAAAAAATGTCATTTTTGGTGACCTACTTTCCTAAGCTCCCCCTGGCCCTCCTGCCTGGACTGCCCCCTCCTACCCCTTCAACCCCCAAGCTCAAAGCAGCAGTCTGGCACAGCGCCACCCCAGTGTGACAGGCTTCTCCGGAAGCACTTCTGGGCAGCTGGCTCTGGTCTGGCTGAATGGGGAGCTGGCCTTCAGGGGCCAGGGCCTGGTGGGGGCTCAGTGGCTGGCACAAGGGCCGGCACAGACTGGGTGCACTGTGATTGTGGACTGTATGAATGACTACATCCCACAGGGCAGAGAAGACACTATGGTTATCAGGGCTGTCCACAGGCTCTGGGGAGTTCCTGTTTGCCTGGAGACCAGGCCAGCCCCACCCTGTGCCCACTCATCAACCTCTTCAACAGAGGGCTTCAGAAGAGGCCTCTGCGGCTAGCCCTGCCTGAAAGCTAGCCCCTACTTGTGCCCCCAGGGCAATGAAGGAATGTGCCCTCAAGCACTTCCTGAAGAAAGGGAAGGGATTCTGCCACAGACTGGGGCTTGTGGAAGGGGGTTCTCCAGAGGAGGGCATGAAACCACCAAGCACTAAGGCCGAGCTGGGAGGGCACAGATCCCCGCTGGGGTGCTGGTGAGCAGCAGGCAGGGGGAGGGGAAGGGACTTTCCAGAATGAGGTAAATCCTTGTAAATCAGGATGCTGGGAACAAGGAAGAAAAACAAAGGGGATTATGGGCTCTGTTCCTGTACCCCAGAGGGGCAGCCAGGGGAAGGCATAAATCCCACCTGGTCTGCCTACTCCTCTGGCTTCCTTGATCTAGACCTGGAAGAGGCTGAGAGGGGAGAGCTCTCACAGCTGGGAATGCAAGAAGTGAGAGCAACTCCTGGGTGGCCTGGGGCAAGGGAAGGAGTCCCTCGCTGCCCACCAGAACTTCCCAGTGGAATGTTCTCTGGCAACAGACATGGGTTTTCTGTTCAGAACCTGCCAGGGAGCAGCAGGACTGAGGGAGAACTCATACTAGCCTCAAGGCCCTGGCTGCCTCTTCAATGAGGCTCTCAGAGGTTGGCAATTCAGACAATTTGCTGAGTGTCCTTACAGGGGCTGGGGGTGGGGCAAGGGGTGGCAATGGTTCAGGGAAACAGGAACGAAGCCATTCAGCGTCTTTGGGGTCTCCTTCCCAGCCTGCCCCCATGCCTCAGAGAGGCACCCAAGGACGCAGACAGACAGACAGACACACACACACACATGCGCAGGCTCCTGGAGACTGGAGTCCGCTGTCAGAGAGAATCAAGTAGGCTTACTTCCTCTGGAGAAGTCAAATCTTCTAAGTCCTCCAACATTTTCTCTACAAACTCTTCAGTCAACAGAATCTGGGAAGGAGGCACAAGGCAGGCTTTTATTTTTTTAATATATGGTCTTTTTTTTTTGCCAATTGCCAAGCTATGGCTCTTTTTTCTGGCAATGGAGGCCTGAGCCCCCAGTGGTAATTGGTGGTTCCAAGGGCAGAGACAAAGTGTTTAATTCCTCCCCACCCCCAGCCCCAGGCCTTCCACTACCACCTGCCTGAAATATTGTAATTATCAGAAGATCGCAATATGGGAGAGTCTTGGGGCAGCAGCCGAGGGCAATGGGGATGAGACATGGAAACAGGTAGGGTTGGCAGTATTGGTCCTAGAAGGAAGATAGGAATGACAAGACAGAAAGGGAAAAACAAAAATACCCCAAAGTCTATTAGGCTATTTGGGCCTCCTGTGTGATGTAGAACAAAAGAGGGGAAACAAAGGCCGAGGGGCAGAGAAAAGCTGCTGCCAACACCCTCTGTGCCCAATGTGCTCACATGTCCCCCCCTCCACCACTTGGTAGGACAAAAGGAATCTGTTTGAATTTGGAATACAAGCTCTGTCTGGGCTCTGGAAATGCCCCAAAAGGTACATCCAAGAATGTCTGGACTAGAGAATTAGGAGACTGTGGACCAACCTCCCTCAGGGAGAGGGATGAGAAGGGACCATCCACTGTCTCCACATTCTCTCAGGGCTTGCCATGACCCTGTGTGTGTGTGTGGGGGGGGGGGGAATGGGGAGGTGGTGGATGGGCATTAAGCTATTGTATTCTTCAGAACTTCCTTTACTCATGACCTCCTTTGTGCATCTCTCCTCTCGTCATCTCCCAGCTATCTCTCCTTGCTATTCTAGTCCAACATCATGTTGCCTCATGAATGATGTCTAGGGCAGTCTGCTTATGCTGCTCAGTTAGCACAACCAGCACCCTCACCCAATGAAGACATTTTCACAGCCAATGAGAATGCTTAAATTTGCCCTCCTCAACCTGATGGGCCGTTCTCCCAACCCTCCCCTGGTCAGGCTAGCTCCACAGAGGCAGACCAAACTTGCTCTGTCTTCACCACACTGGGCCCTGGTGAAGGCTGTGACCCTTCTTCCTTCACCCATCCTCCCTGTGCTTTCCATGAGACCTTTGCAGTAGACTGGTTTGTACGGCCCCTTCGGTCCTGGATGAGGCTCCATCGGCCTCTGCCTTGCTTCCTTCAGCAGGCCTTGAGCCCCCTGGGTGGACAGCTGCCAGGGGGGTGGAAACAAAGGTGAGGGCTCCTCAGAGGGCACCCCTCCCTGTGAGAAGGCTAGAAATCCAGAATTTAAGAAACTACCCAGCAGGTTTCCCCTGGAAGGTGTCCCCTCTGCTAAGCGGCACTAGACAGCAGAAGCTTCAACATCTTGAGTAGAATCAGCTTGTGAGATAGAGTGACTTGGCAGAGAAAGCAGGGAGACAAGCAGGATCCCTGGGGACCTCAGTGAATGGAGGGCTCCAGAGGAAGGAAGCTGATGGGGTGGGAGCAAGAAATGAGAAAAGTAGCCCGCAAGTGAGCAGAAACACCACCACCACCCCAGGCCCTGTGCTGCTTGCTCCTCTGTCTCATCTCCTTTTGTCTCCTTACAGAAGAGGAATTGAGGCACAGAGAGGTTATGCAACTTGTCTGAGATCACAGGGCATGGGAGTGGCTGAGACAAGAGCATCTCTCAGTCATGTCTGGACTCCGTAAGTTAGTACCTGAGGAATTGCTTTCAAATCCCAGACTCTTCTCCTTAGGACATCTACTCATTTATGCATTTGTCTACTCAGTGACTATTGCTCTATTAGATTTCATGAGCATTCCCTAGGTGCCTCTGCTAGGCCTGGCCCTGGATGCAGCTCTGGGGACAAAAGCACAAAGGTAGCCCATTGCCTACAGAGACAACTGTCCTCCCTTGTTTGACAGGGCGTCCAAAAATCTCACTTTCCCAGGCTTCGAGCCTACAAGAACAAAAGTAGTTCTGATCACGAGCCCTCTTCCTAGAAGTTTCTATTCTAGGAGCACAGGCCTTGAGTGAGGCCAGAGACAAAGCAGGAACAAGCAAAGCTTAGACAGAAGGAGAGAGGCAAAGTTGGCCCAGGAACTTGCCCACTTAAGTTCCCCAAACTGGGGCTTGGCCAGCTCCTCCAATCACAGACCACAGCCACTGTTTCTCTTTCACACCTTGAGTCCCCCACAGCTCTGCTTCTCTTCTCTTATCCAAGGTTTTTCCCCCCTCAAAAGTCCTAAGTTTCTAGTTATCACCAGTTTGCATGAGTAATACAAAAGTCACATTCATATTTTTGGCATTTCCGGGGCTTGTTTCCATTTCTGCAAATGCTAGCACAAATATAAGCATACCTAAAATCCAATAGTATAGCAGGGGCCAGGCTGGGCAGATTTGAACCCACAAATAATTTGGAGGGAGGGAAGAACTTCCTGCCAGAAAGGTAACTAGATCTAGGACTGTAACACTGCTGGGGGATGGGAGGGAAGGCTGGGGATGAAGGAGTCAGGAGGGTTTACAAGGACTATGGCCACTCATTGAGACTTCAAAGACAAGAGTTCAGTCCTATACCAGATCCCCAGGTCTGATATTGGTGCTGGGAGAGGGTGCGTTATGGTTGCTTTTAATCAAGCAACCAGCCCACTTGGTACCATCTGTGTGGACTTACTTTGCACTCAATTGGGGGAGGGGATGGCAAGACCGAAAATGGGGGTATACCCCAGTCAATCTTACTTTTTACACCTCTTTGCCTCAATTTTCACTTTTGGTGACTTGCTAGTTCCTGCTGGAAACCACATTATTTTAAAAAGATTAAAGGGGAAAAAAATTATACATAAGGTCTGCATGCTATTAAGGATGACATTCCCTGCAAAGAAACACGACAGACTGTCATAGCTCCAGGCACCTAATTTAATTTCCTTTGGGAGCTAAACCTTAGAAGCTTGGGTAGAACAAACAGGCCCTGTTCTTTGTATATTTCAGACCTGGAGCTGCGCATGTTAACAGATCTGATCAACAGGGCACTGAGATAGACAGCTCCGGGGGAAGCAGCTCCCGAGCCGAGCCCTCTCGTGAGGAACAGACTCGCTGTTGTGATGCAACTGTGGGAAAAGCCTGTGCAGTTCTGGGGCCTGGAGCTCCTGGAACTCACTGGGTCTCCATGGAGCCTGGCTCGCTCTGTCACAGATAAGGAGAATGACAGTAGTACTGATGGCAATTCTAAGAGCAGGAGCAGTGCCTCCCACATGTGCCAGGCACTGTGCTGAGTGTCTGACCTACATCATCTCATTGAATCTTCCTGGTCCTGAGAGGAGGAATGTGTCCTGGACTTAGGAGGTACAGTGATCTCACAACGTGGTGGGGCAGGGGAGGTGCCCTTGTCCTGTCTGAGGAAGGTACTTCAACTCCAGAAGTCTGTATCCTCAGGACGGACACTTCTTTCTTTTCTGTGAGGGAGATGAGAGCAACTATCACTGCTCTGGAAAACCAGCAACCCCAAACCCCAACCAGCCACAGGCCTCCTAGCTCAAGAGGGTCTCTGCAGAGCTGCAGCCCAGAACCTCACAGACATTGCAGCTGCTCAAAACCCAGATTGACCAATTGGGAAGGCCAGAAAGAAGGTTTCCCTGTGAGGGCAGTAGGGCACATTTCCAGGGTAGTAGAGTGACATACAGAAGACAAGTCACTCTAGTCCGAAAACAGTAGAAATAATTTTGTTCTTAAGTGCCGTTGAGTCGGTTCCGACTCACAGTGATCTGTATAGGGTTTCCGAGGAGTTGCTGGTGAGCTTGAACCACTGACACTGCAGTCCAGCGTATTAACCCACAATGCCACACCAGAACTCCAGAAATAATACTGGTAATAAAAGTAACAGCAGCACTTACCAAGAGCCAGATGTAAAGTCTCATTTTGTTATCCCATTTAATGTGCAAAAAACAGCCCTTGAAGGGAAGAGACCTTTAGTGAGAGGGAGCTTTCCCCTATCAACCTGGGAAGCTTTTAAAAATACGCAGATTCCAGGCCACAGTGTGTGTGTAGATTTGGTGATCTGCTCCTCTGTAAGGTCACCTAGCCAATGCCACTGAGCTGATTCCTACTAGTGACCCTACAGAACAGAGGAGAACTGCCTCTAAGGATTTCCAAGACTAAATCTTTACAGGAGCAGGTATCCTTCTCCTACAGAGCAGCTGGTGGGTTTGAACTGCCAACCTTACGATGACCAGCCTAACACTTAACTCACTGTTGAGTGAGTTACAGCCTAGGATACCCTATGGGGCAGTTCTGTCCTGTCATGTAGGGGTCACTGAGTTGGAATGGACTTAGTGGCACACAATAACAAGAAGACCACATCCAGTTCTCTTGAATCAGACTATCTTGGGGTAGAGGCCAACACAGCTGCATTTGAAAAAGGTACTCCCAGAGTTCATGGTTGGAAAAATGTTGGGAAATACCAAGGTGTACAAGGGAAAGGGGCCTGGGTGCTCTATCGTCATGGAACTGGCTGAGCTGGGGAGTCCTCACCTCTTTTGACCAGGGAGGGGAATTGGAATCTAGGCCAGAAGTTTACTCTAGTGGGCTCACACCAGGTGCTTTATGACAACCTGGCTGGTTGGTGGTGAGGGAGGATTGTCAACAACCTCCCCAGGGCCCAGGCCCCAGCAAGTTTCAGAAAGGAACCCGAAAAGTGAGCTTTTGTTAGTGCCTGCCCTGGGCAGGCCTGCCTGTGCTGCAAGGCAGGATCCTAGCAGCTGCAGATCAGACGGCGAGTCAAATGTCTGTGGTCAATGATAGTTCTGAGTCTGCAAACAGCAGCTGACAATGCCCACTCCTTCCCCTTGCTATGACAATCCACACTTTGTCCGGGACCTTGTTTGCTTTTTGTGTTGACACGTTGTTCTTTAGCTTTCTTTTTCCCTCCCTTTCCTTCTCTCGGGGAAGGAAATGTGTTGTTTATAGTGGTGGGGCCTGCCAAAGAGCTTCTCTGGCACTCATGGTGGCAGTAGAGGAGGCAGGGACAAGGAAGCAGTCCAGTCTGCATCCCTTTCCTCCTTCCCCCCACATGCTAGACAAAAGCCAGAAGACAGCCTGGAGACCCCCCAGGCTCAGGTACCAGGCTGCACAGAGAGACCTCAGTCATTTCCTGTTCTTGGTGGGTGGCAGGAAGTTGGCTTTCGTGGCCAGAAGCAGCCTCAGACTCCTTCTGCTGTGGCTGTTGGCTGGTGAGGACAAAGTGGGGCATCACTGTCCTCTACTGAAAGGTTGGGGACTGTACTTCCCCCTGCACATGGCTAGAATGTAAGCTTTAATGGGAGTACTCCCAGGACAACCCTAACAAAGGTCACCAGACTGTGGCCAGATTCACCAGTGGAAGGAGAAATAGTAAAGGCACCACAGGAATTGCTCAGGGTCTGGTCCAGGAATTCCCAAGTCATCTTCCTCACGCCATCCAACTGGGTGGATAAGGAAGGCAGGGGCCTTGTCCAGAGGAGAATGGTGAGTCAGTGGCTGGGCTGGGAGAAGAGTCCAGCAGCGCTTTTCTGATAGGGGCCTGGAATAGCAGAGCCCACTAGGAACAGCTGCTGGGCGTCTTCTCCGAAGCCCAGGCCTCCCATCAGGAATGGCTGAGGATGGGGTGCAACTGGGTGGCCTGTCAGACACCAGGCAGCTGAAAAAGCATTGCAGGGCTTTTAAAAAAATCTCATATTTGGTGATGTGACCCCTCTGTGACCTCTGGAACAGAGACCTCTCCCCCTCTTCAGATGGGCCCTGGCTGGGGACAGATGAACGCCTCAGCTCTGGGCTGGGCTCCCGCTCAGAGGACTAACAGCTCAATGTTGACAGACTCAAGGGAGAGGCTTGTTGAAGCCACTGGGGTGAGGGAATGCTAGAGGAGGGTGGTGTAGGAGAGGACCTTGGCAGGCCTCCCATGCAGGGTCTGAAGACCCTCCTGAAAAATAAACGAAGTTGGCCGAGTAGGTTTACAGTCGCAAAAAAGATGAAAGTAGTCAATGGTAGGGCAGACTGAGGCAAGGTGTCAACCTCCTCTGGAAACCCAAGCCTGTGGAACTGAAGCTGGAACTCCTGCCTCTCCGGCTCCTCATAAACAGGGAGTGGCCACCATGCTCAGCCTGGCCCTGCAACCCTTCCTGCTTTTCTGTATGCTGTGGCCTTGCCTCGCCTGGGTCTGCAGAGGTGGGGGCTAAGGGGTGGGTATGGAGGGCAGGTGCAAGCCCAGGAGTATATGGGTGTGGAGGCCTGTCCTAGGGCCATTCTAGAAATTCCAGAAAGGGGTCCAGATTCCCTAGCCTCCTGCCCTTTTCTCTCAACCTCTCTTTTGTCATGGTTCCCCCATGCAGGCTGCCTCTGCCATGCCTTTCCCCCAAGAGATAGCAAGCCTGGGCGGGGAGCCAGAACAAGGTGCCAAGGCTGGGAGTGAGGGCTTCCAAGGCTGTTGAAGGCTGATGCAAGAAAGTCATCCTGGCCCCTCCCAATTCAGCAGGGACCATCAGGGAGGGTTCAAGCAGCAGCCAAGAGAACAGAAGTCTCTTCACGTCCTGGGTCTGTTGTGTTCAGCTACTCCCAACAGGGTTGGGCACATAGAGATACCCTGCATCCTGGGAGTGTGAACAAGACAGATATGCAAGGGCTGATGGCCAGCCTCTTGAATGCTGAGGGACCTTCTTGGCCGAGTGGAAAGGGCCTAGTTGATGACTCTGAGAAAAGCTTAATCCCAGGCCTCCAGGAGGCCTTGCAGACTTCTGGGGGACAGCCAGCCCCACAGAGAGACCTAGAGGCCCGAAAGTAACCACATTCCCACAAGCTCAGGAGCTGCCTCGGACCACAGTGGCAAGACCCTGAAGGGGAAGGCGGGCTGGCAATCAGAGGCAGAAAATGCTGACTGCCTTGGGGAGGAGGAGGGCTGGTGTGGGTTTGGCTCAGTAGCTGAGAATCTGGCTGGCAGAGGGTCGGAGGGTTCCCAGGGCTCCTCGAAAAGGGCCTGAGAAACCCCTCAGTGAGCAAGGGTGCATGCCTGGGGAGTGGGGCCTCGGCCAGCCTTCCTGGGAGCTCCTCTTGGAGCTGGCCCCCCGTGCTGGACCACACTAATGAGCCCATAACACAGGCCTTTGAGCAGCTCCCAGCACGGCGACTTTATTGAAACATGCCGAGGCCAGCGGCTTGTTCCCACCGGTTCCTGGTTCCCCAGGCAACAGGGGACCGTGTGCTCGGGAGTCAGCGTGGACGGAGTGCTCAAGCTCTGTGAGGGGCTGCCAGGGGGAACAAGGGGCTCCCCCTTCTCCCATCAACTTGGCATTGGATCCAGAAGGCTGGGGGGCGGGGGGAATTGCTGAGGGACCAGGGTAAGGAGATGCTGACCACCCCTCATGAGAGTAGGATGATGTCCCTAGCCTAAATTTTTCCTGGTTCCCCAGCTACTAAGGAAGGAAGAGGGCTGAGGTGGATTATAGAACTCGGAAGGCAGGTTCCTGTATTAAGGATGTGAATTTCTTGAGTTTGATGAGCCCACTCAAGATAATGTGTTTGAACCTTCAATATACATCTGAGGGGGCTTCAAAAAATTCATGGAAACATGGAATGAAAAGATAATGGAATTTTTTTCCACAAACTTTTGAAGTCCTTCATAAATGCTCCCTGAGGATTCTTCTGTGGTGACCAGTCGGCCTGTCAACACTGTCTTCTACTGGGAATGAAGACCTGTGACCTTGCTGGGCTGGGCTCACCTGCCCAGGCCCCACCTCCCTATTGCTCTGCCCAGGGGACAGGCACCCCTCCCTTCCTGTCTCCACAGAGGCAGCAGTGGCAGCCTGGGGCACAGCTGGGGGCTGAAGGGAGGCCCTTTCAGTTGTGCTGGGCTCATTTCAAATGTTACACTTCAGAGCTTTTGCTACAGTAACTACCAACACCACATGGACAGAAATCTAATGTTACCAAGTGGGACTTTTAAAATGTATTTATAACTTTATGGTTCAAAGTAATTTTGTTATGAAACAATGTAATAACAACAGTGGAAAAAGGCAAGATAATTTATGGAACACAATATCCCTAAAGCACTAGCTTCCATTCCTGCAGTGGCTTAGTCTGGGGAGTAGAGTTGTTGTCCTTTGTTTGCTGTTTGTTTTAATTAAGGGTTAGTATTTTGGTGGTGGGTGGGGGTGGGAGCTAGCCTGAAGGAGGAGAAATTCTGCTGTAAGCACAGAGACAAAACAAAACAAAAGCATGTCCATATTATGAGTTTATATGCTTCATAGACCCCCAAGATTGAGTTAAACCCACAAAACTGGAAAAATTTCCCTTCTTCTCTACTGTAACTCACTGCCCCCACTCCCCCTCAACAAAAAACACTACAAACAAGGCAAGGTCACCTTTTGGATTAGGGTCAGATTCCCTTTCTTGATACTCCTGAGAGAGGTAAAGGTAATGTGTTCCTTTCCCCACCCCCACAAAAAAAAAAGCATCTCGGAATGTGGTTTACCAGGATGAGGACCCTTTAGGAGACCCAAGGGGGGCGGGGGTGGGGGTGGGTGGCAGGAGGCTTGTGGCTCTCAGGTCCCAGCAGTCTGCTTGGCAGTTGCTCTGAAACTGTGCTCTAGCCAGAAGAGCAAAAGGGGGACACAGTGTTCTGGACAAGCCACTGAGTTTCTGTTCAGACAAGCTGGTTTCCACTGGGAGCAGCAGGAGAGCCATAGGTATTAGACAGGGTGGGGTGGGGGTGGAGGAGCAGATCTGGCTGCTGAGGCCTGTCCCTCACAGTCCCAGGCCCAGAGGTCTGCTTTCTATGAATATTGGCAGGGTGGCCAGACAGCCACCAAGAGTGCTTCATACATCCCCCTTCATCCCGCTTTCCTGTGCCTTGGTTTACCCCAGGTGCAAAAAGTCCTAGAACCCTCAAATTTCCAGGTTCTGAAGAGACAGCACAAGTATCTTGGATGATGGGGGGTGGAGAAGAGCCAGGAAGTGCTCCTGGAGTTGATGGGAGATTCAGCAGTACCCTTTCTCCACGTCCACACACTGTCCTTAGTCCAAAAGGCATCTCATAGCAAACCCATCAGGAATGGGAGCTACCAAGAGCTGCCATGGGAGAAGAAGGGACGAACCTATGGAAAGAAGGTAGGGAGAAGAAAAAGAGCCTTCTCACTTGTAACCAGGGTCCATGAGCTGCGTAAGGATGCTCCTCAGTGGCAAAGGCACCTTCTACTCCCGTGGAGACAAATGTGATGGCCATGTCACCTGTGATACTTTTATATGTAAAGTGTCTTCCATGCAGAAGTCTGCCCCTAGGGGTGGGAACATGGAGACAGTGAGGAGCTGGGCCAGGGCTCTGGGGCCATGGGGTTAGGTTCCCTGGGGCAGGGTGCCTGGCAAATGCCCTCCTACTGCCCACCTGCCCACTAACAGGGGACTCTAGTTCCAACCAATGTCTTCAGCGAGAAACCGCTCACAGGTTCTCTGTCATTCTTCCAAAGGCCTCAACGGCAGCAGCAGACACAACAGGAGACCTGAATCCCAAGGGTGGCAGAAGTAGTGGAGACCACATTCTCATGGACAGTGAGGAAACTGAAGCCCAAGGTCACACCCAGAGCTAAGAGGCATGTACACGCCTTTATTCCCAAGCAAATTTTCCAAGCCTCTGGGATGATGGTGTTGTTGAGTACCTACCTTGGAGTCGGTTCCGACTCATAGTGACCCTGCACAGGGTTTCCGAGGCTGCAAATCTTTACGGGAGCAGAACGCCTCATCTTTCTCCCAGGGAACTGCTAGTAGTTTCGAACTGCTGACCTTGAGGTTGGCAGCCCGACTCGTAACCACTACACTACGCTACCAGAGCTTCTTGCGATGTAGAGTGTCTTTAAAAGCGCAACTCTTGGGTCTTGGGCAGAATATTCTACCTGACTCTGGGCATTCCCACAAGATCTAAGTGCCTAACCCCAAGGCCACAAATATATTTTTAAAAATAATAAATAAAACTGCTGAAGCCAAGTGGGGTTACTCTGAGGAAGCCACAAGAAGTTAGCGTTAATCCCCAGTTTGGAATTATATCTTGGGGAAGGGTGAACAGTGGAGCAGAGATGCTAATAAGCAGAGGAAGCAACACCAGCCAGCTCTTTGCTATCTCAGCCAGCCTCCCATTAACCCTTCACCAGCCTCAAAGTCCTGAGCTGAACCACAGAGGCAGCTTGGGAAGAAATGGCTGGGGATCTGATGGCTGGCCCTGTCAGGTCCTGTCCACTCTGGTCATTTGCTATCTTTGCCCTGCTGCCCAGGGTGTCTGGCCAAGGCTGGTTATAATCCAAGCTCCTCTCCCAGGCTTTAGGGATGGTGGAGAGAGTTCAAGTCAACGTAACCCCTTCTTCCCTGCCACTGTTCAACTGTAGTCATTCTTGTCTCTCCTGATATAAAAGTGGGGGGAGGGGGGAGGCTGTGGAAGAAGCCAACTGCAGAGGTTGCAGCCCAGTGCAGTATCCCAGGAGCAGAGAGCTGAGGTTTTTGGCACTGTCGTCACGAGCAGAAGGCACACAGCTGGCTTCCTGGTCCCTCAAGGAGTCAGATAGGTCGGCCACTGGGCTGGGAGAACTGAAAGTTTTGCCCGGGGAAAACAGTAAGCAGGAGAAAACAGAGCCCTACTCATCAGAACCCCTGGCCTGACAAGCCAGTGCTGCTGGCGACCTTGCCGCCCCGGACTCTGGGTGTATGTGAGACTGGGGGCAACGAAGACTCCTCAGTGGCTGAGCCTGAAGGGAGCAGGTGTGAGGGGCTGTTCTTGGATGAAGGAGAGGTATTCAGCACCTAGACCTTGGGCACTGTTAGACTCCAAAAGCTTGAGATGAGGGAGTTCTGTTAGCCACGGGCCCAAACTAGACACCAACAGGCTTCTTGGCCACAGTCCATGGCCCACGGGGGACTGTCACTGCTAGGGGATGTGCAGATAAGACAGGAGGTGCAGATAAGAGAGCACCTCTCCAGGGATAAACCAGGGGGCTGACTAGTCCCAGCTGAGGCTGCCTTCTCAAACCGAGGCTGGTTAGAGGTGTGGACAGGGATAACACCATGTGGTTCAGAGTGTTGGGGCTACTGGCTGCCTCAGAGTCCAAAGGCTCCTACACAGGCCCACAATGGAGCTGCCCAAGGGGACTTCTCCCCCAGCTCCATACTCAGCCTAGACTTCTGCTCTACCTCCCAAGGGGAGATAAGGCAGAGGCCTGGGGCTCCCTGAGGGCTCTGCATGATGCTGAGAGGGAGGCCATTTGGGGAGGTGCTTATGTTCCCCCTGGAGACCAAGCTGGGTGCTCTGGGGCTGAGCTGATTAGCAGGGCAGTGTGGTCTCACCTTAGACAGAGAGGAATGAGGGCTCCTGACTCCTGGTTGAACTTCAGATGCACGCTCTCCAGCTGCCGCGTGCGGATCAGCTCATGGGGAACAATGGCTGTGGAGCTGTCGCTTTCTAGGCTGTCTTTGCGGCTCCTGTGGAGTAAGTAGAGGAACAGGATCAGCACAAGGTAAAAACCACAGGGAGGGACAAGAAGAGAGTCTCTCAGGCTGGACTTCCAAAGAACAAAGACAAGTAAGAGTGATTGATGATAATGGTAACAACAGTAATGGTAACCATTCACTATGCGCTCGCCCAATGCCAGCCACTGCGTCCAGCACTTTGCACTGATTCGTTACTCCCACATGCCCCATGACGTGGGTACTGTTATTATCATCATGTACACTGTACAGATGAGGAAGGAGGGATCAGGAAGGCTAAGTAATCTGTCAGGTAGTACTGCAAAGTCGGTTTGAAACACAAGATCAGCGGTTCAAGCTCCTCAGCCGCTCCTCGGAAACCCTATCTATACAGGGTCACTATGGGTTGGAACTGACTCGATGGCACTTAACAACAACAACAGCTGGTAAGTGAGGGGAGCTGAGATTTGGTTCCAGTCTGGCTCTAAAGCTCTCATTTTTGACCAACACACTGTAGCTCTGTCACACTGGCTTGCTCTTCTCTACAAAATGAACAGGACCATCTGGGTGCCCTTCTTCCCCTGCCCTACAGCCTCAGACTGCTGGTTCTCCAAGGCTGGTTGACAGAGCATCAGGTGACATGGCTTCAAGAGCTTCCTCCCAGCTGACTCTGACAGCAGCAAGTTCTGAGCGGGCACACTTCTTCCTGCTAAACCACCAGGAGCTGCAGTGATACACACACCCTTCATCTAACCAGGAAATGACGCCACTCTCATCAAGGGCTGGAGACCAGGCTCTTGAGAAGGGCCTCTCTCTGTCCTGCTGGAACTCTGTACTGGATTTCACCTGACCACCAACAGCCTGGCCTACAGCTGGGGCATGGGTCCCTTTGCAATTGAAGATTTGCTCTTTCAAATTCTGCTGCCTGCACTGACAAGCTCTCAAATATGCCTCAGCTGGAAATGAGGGTTACCCACTGATCCCATTCAAAAGACCGGATCCTGATTTGGACTTGTGAGTCTCAGAACAATTCCCCAAGTGTCCATCAACATACTGGATGAGCAGCCCTAGTTATTTATAATTCAAGCAGGGAGAAGCCACCCAGGATGTTTGGGCCCCAAGGCCAGACAGCTACTGAGGGGTGAGCCCAACCTCCCCCCACACTGGGGGCTGAGTGCAAGGTCTGGTAACACTTCCCAGGGGAAGGGTATGACATCAGCAAGCATAAGGATGGAGGGTGACATTGGGTTCTGTAGGCCAGTGGTTTACAAATGTTCCTGAGGTGAGGGGGACATTCCCACCAGCTGGTCTCTTCCCTGCTCACACCCTGATGTGACTGCTCATTCATAAAGCACTCCTTTCTTCTAGTTCCCATAGCCTGCTGAAACCACACTTTTGCCTAGCTTCTCCTTTGACGAAGCCTTACCCAAGACCTGTGAAGACAAACACTGTGGCCAAGAACGCATGGAATTTCAGGACTGGAACGAAATTCTAAGACTGTTTAATCTACCTCTTTATTTGACAAAAGAAAGTCAGTCATTCAAGTAAGGTCATAGTTGGTCTGTATCAGCCAATGTGGGAGTCACGGGCTTCTGACGGACTCTCTGTCCCTTACGTCATATCTGCTCTGAGGAGGGAAGCACCTCATCTAGCCCAGGTCCCACCTGTCGGGGGTGAGTGCTCAGCATGTGAATACAGGGCCCAAACAAGAGCAGGACTCAGGAGATAAGAGCAGCTCATGACTGCGGAATTAAGTTCCTATTGCTGAAGCCACATTGCTGAAGCCTCACAGCAAATACCTGAGGTGGGTTCTATTGTTAACCCAACTTTTACAGATGAGGAAACTGAGGTTCAGTGAGGTGAGGGGACACATAAGTAGGAAAGCCAACACTGTCCGGAGCTAACCCTGACAATAGGTTCCGGTATTGTCACACCACCAAGTTCCCCAAAGGAGCTGAGGCCGGGCCCACCCAGGCGGGGCCTCTGAACCCATGATGCCCAAGGGAGGATCCTAGCTTCTCTGGCATGGACAGAAATGCTGATGAATAGCAACTGGGGGGTGGGGGGGGAGTGGAGGGGCTGGGAGCTGGTAGAGAAGAATCAACAGCACACAGGGCTAGAGACGTCTCAAGCTGGAGGGGAAAATAAATTGTTGAAAGTCAGCTAAAGTCACCTTGGTAACTGCTACAACACACTCACGCAGAACGAGGACATCAAACCCAACTGCAAACAGCTTTAAAGAAATGGAAAAGAACTTAATCATCTGAAGAATTAATGTGACAAGTGCCCACATTTACACCTCCCACCAACCTTCAATCATTTGAAAAACGTACTTTAATCTTTTAAGAGAGAAAAAAAATTGCAAAATGCTAGATCTGCAGTCCTGGAGCTTGGGTATTTCCGGCACGCTACTTCAATGGAAACACGGCTGCTACACACACACACACACACACACACACACACACACACGCCCAGCTTTTTGCTGATTTGTTTTTTCTGGACATTGATGCAGAAGCATGAATTATTTGTGTGGGCTGGGTGAGGTATTAAATCTGCAGCCGACACAGGTTTGCAATGTTTTGCATGGTTGTCAGCTTAATCTTAGTCATAAAAAAATAAGTAGCATGCTCATCAGTGTGGCCTAATTTTTCAGCTGGGTTGTTTTCTCCCTAAATTCCCAGTGGAGGAGAAGGTAGAGCTTCAGGGGCTGGAAGGAATATGGGTTCCCAGGGAGGCAAGGCCAGCACTTGCTGGGTTAGGGAGGCGGGGGTAGTGGGAGTGGGGGTGGGCAGAAGGACCAGCGATTGCTGCTGGAGGCAGAATGGCTAAGAGCGTAGATCTTGGGGAAAGAGAGACCTGGGTTCAGGTCCTACGTGATCTCAGACAAGTGACTTAACTTTTCTTTTCTGAACTTCAGTCTCATCTTGGTGAGATTAGTAACAACACTCTCATACAGTCATTAAAAGGACTAAATGAGATGATCTAAGTGAGGCATTTAACAATGCTTGGGATGTAGACAGGTTCAAATAAATCTGAGGAATGCATAATGGGTTGAGGTTAGCAGGCTGCCTCTAGTAGTCTACCTGTTTTGCCTGCAAGAACATTGACTTACTAGAGATGTCTGCTTTTACCCTGGGCCCAATGTCCCACTGCCTCTAGCCGGGTTAGTTCCCTCTGCTGACCAAAGCTCTAGAGAGAGGGGGTCTCTAGATGGTGCTTGGGAGGGCTCCTAACACCTCGTAGTCCTTGGTCAACTGCTGGTGCCCTGGGAAGACCTGACTACAGGCCAACAAAATCCCATGAGTTCCTTTGAGGAAGGTGCTGGCAACACCTTCCTTCTTCTACAGAACACAATCTGCCTTCCAGCAGGTCTCACCCACTGGCATTCAACTCACCCAGATGAGGTTCAGTCCATCTCCACATGGCAGCGTCCTGGATCCCTGAGGCTGCTCTCAGATCACATCAACTGTTTCTCTCTTCCATGTCTTGGGTCTCAACTTTCTATTATATTCTTAGGACAGAGCTCTGAAATCTACCATCCATTTGAGTCACTCTCCCCTGGATTCCTGCTAGCTTGTCAAAACTAGAATGTAATATCCAGAAGTGATGTGCCTTGTACAGAAGTAAATATAATATGTAGTCTAAGTAACACAGATCACAGAAGGACTATGATTGGTACACTTTATTTCTATTAAAATTGTCATCAAATTGTCTGTTCTTTGTAACCTCATCATACTATCAATCTATAGTGTACTCTGTCAATGAAATCTCTCAGGCTTTTCTCTTAGACCTCTTCTTCCCCATCTTGTATGTGTCTTATTGATTATATGAAGCTATCAGCAGAAATCTGCATTATCTGGCTATTATTCCAGGCAGTCCAGATGTTTCTGAAACCAGACTCTGGTCTCTATCATATTGGCATTCCCTCCTGCATCCATATCACTGACAAAACTGAAAAAAACAAAACCCAACAACTCACCATGTATGTTCTCAATCCAAATTTGATTAAGCAGCGAACAGGACAGGGCTGGGAAGGTAGGCTGATAGACTGATACCATTACTCTTTGGGTATATTCTTCCAACCAATGATCAATCCACCTGACCATTTCATCACCAACCCTTATACTCTCCTGGATGCATTTTGACCCACATATCTCCTTCCTATGCACAACGATGTCAAAAGATATTCTTAAAATGTCTTGCTAACTATATACAAGGTCTCCAGCATTCCTTTGCCCTCCAGGCAAGTAACCTTTTCTAAAAAGACAGTGAGGATGGTCTGACGTGCCTGACTCTTTGAATTCATGCTGACTCTCAGGGCTCACTGACTCTTTTAAAGAGTGTTCACAGTCTACTTGCTGAATAATCTAGTCCAGAATTTTTCCTCAGGGTGACACCAAGCTCACTGGTTTAGAGACTCCAAGATGCTTTTTGCATCTTGAAATGTTTGCTTGTTGTCTGCCAACATCTCTCTCCCAGTGCCTAGCTTCAAGAAAATCATCTGCCAATTATTCTGGTCTTCTGGGGAAGGATATGGACCAGGAGACCTGAAATCATTGCTTCAGTTCATCTTATCAGAACCTGTTGATCTTTCTTAGTCTGATGAGCATTCTACGTGAGATGGAATCTAAGAGAAAATGAGTAAATTCTGCTTTCTGTCACTGATTAACGTTATCCTGTTTGTTGACACAAATGAGGCCTAGATTTCCTGCTGCTTCCTACTCCAAAGAGAAATATAAAAAAATAAAGTCTATTTTGCTGGCTATCACATTTTTATTAATTATTATTATTATTATTATTTTTTGCCACACTTGGTTCATATTGAATCTCAAATTGTCTTGACGGTTTCTTAACATGTATGCAGTTATAACACAGTTCTCCTCTTGGCTTTTGTTTAAAGTCTTTAAAAAAATCTGTGTGTGAAGGATTCTCTAGAGTTTTACACTGGTCCGTGAAAGTATTCCACAACTCATCTGTCAGTTTGTCCTACTGCGGTGGCTTGCATGTTGCTGTGA